CCAGCAGGGGGCAGTCGCTCAATGCAGGAGTGGAAACCACAGGCATAGAAACACGAACAGACTGATGAATCTCAGAGGGAAGGGAGTGGGTTTGGCACGATCCCCGCAGGCCAGGCCAAGGAATCCCACCATTGCACAAATCGGTGCACCAGGCCTCTATAGTGAATTTATAAAAACAAATGTCCTCACAGAGCTTCAAGTCTTACTTAGTTCTGTTCCACAAACAGGAAGCAGATGGTGCATTTGTGCCAAACACTTTGTATTTCTGCCGAACACTGTGTGGAGCACTAAAGAAGTGAGTGAGGAAAGCCCAAACTCTGTCCTTAGGACAGCCACAACCTACAAGAACAAGGAAGGCCACACAGAACAAGAAAGGAGGTGAAACCTGAGGCACTTGAAGGATGTTGAAGATTAGGTTAACGGTGGACAGCATTGCAGGCACAGGAAATAATACAATGTGACCAGGCACAGGAGACATCAAGCACTGGCCAGGGAGCTAGCTGTATAGCTGAACCATGAAATACATGTTGGGGGAAGCAGGACATGTGACTGCAGGGTGGATGGGAGACTCCACTTGTGGCTCAAAGAGATAAGAGTAAGAAAAATGTTGATAGATCACCCTGAACAGTGCAAAGATGGGGGTTACCAATCGTTATGCAGAATATAAAGAGGTAAAAAATGGTGAGAATTTTAAAGCCCCTGGGCAATTAGTTTATTCATCTTGGGGAAGCATTTTCAGGACAGACAATTGGTACACACGGCAAGCTAAGGCAATAGTGAAGACAGTGAGTGCAGACCAGGCCTTTGAGAAGCTTCAATGAAAGCAGAAGAGATGGGACAATGGATGAAGAAAAACCAAATGTTCAGAGAGTTTTTACAGCTTGTTCTTTTTTTAAATTGGTAAGAGAGATATTAATAGGCTGAGTTCTTTGGGGGCAAGGTGCAGGAGGTCAATAATAACAAAATAAATCTGTGGAAGGAATCTCTCAGAGACCATCGAAGAATCTTTTAAGATTACAGTCTTTCTCAATTTTTCCAAGTATTTTTTTAAAATTATTTTTAAGCTGATTTAACTTTGCTTTGTGGATTTTTTACCTCATATGGGGAAGCTTCCTTTTATAAAAAATCCTCACTGTACTCAAACACTGCTAGTATCTTGGACATTTTAGGTTAGCTAGGATTTTTGTTCATTTCTTTTCCAAATTTTTCTGATCTTCAGCATAAGTATATCTCAATAAAACACAATTACTCTAGGAAAACATATGTGTGTTATATGTTTTTCCCTCCAAGAAAGATTAAATACATGAATTACTAAAGATCTATTAATAAGCTTTTTTCTAGCTCAGGCTGGGTTGTTCAGTTGGTTGGAGGTTTGCCCCATTTTCAAAAAAAGGTTGCGGTTGGATTCCCAGTAAGGGCACGTACCTGATTAGGGTGTGTTCAGGGGGCAACCAATCAATGTTTCTCTCTCCCCTTCCCCCTTTCTCTCTCCCTAAAGAGAGAAAAATCAATAAAACATATCCTTAGGTGAAATTTTTTTTTTAAGTTTTTTTCTAAATAATTGCTTTAAAAATACAACTATACACATTCTGAAATTTTTAAATGTTCAATTGCTTTAAAAATACCAGTGATTTACATTCTGATTTTTTTAACTATTTAACAGGAAAAAAAAAAACCACACCTATTACACCATACAGTTTCTGTGTAGATGTACTTTTCCTTTTTATCAGCTAAGTCAAGCATGGAAGTAAGTGTTGCCCAAGCCTGCCCTTATCAGTAGCATGTCTAGCGCCACAGCCACACCTGGAAGCTTTGGTAACGGATTCAGCAAGTAGAGGAAACGGAGGATGCTCCTATGGTGCATAAGTTTCCAGACAATTTCTCCTGCAATGTAGGTATGTACTTTTTACACAAAGATTGAGTTACTTTACATATATAACTTTGTAAAATGCCTTTTCATTAAGTAGCTCATGAAAAACTTTATCACTAAACATAAATCTACATTATCATTTTTAAGGTTTGTAGAGTATTTCATTAAGAACCTTTTACTGCTGAAGTCATAAAAACACTTCAGGGACATTATCCAAGTCAATATAATTAGGCTAGACAGTTTCACTCTTAATTTCATTTATAGGTAAACCTGAAATACTGTCTCAGTACCTTTTCTAAGCATTAGGTGATATTAGAGTCCCAGGGCAGGAATTTATGAATGGGTGGGGTCCCTAGGCTTGACCGGAGATAGGGCCAATCAGGCAGTCTCACCCAGCCCCAATCAGGGCTGGGCTGATAGGGCCTGCAGGCGGGTGGGGGAGGGGGGTAGAAAGAAGAGGGAAGGGACAGGGGAGGTTGGCCTACTGCAGGAGGTTGACTGTGGGAGCACACTGACCACCAGGGGGCAGCTCCTGTGTTGAGTGTCTGGCCCCTGGTGGTCAGTGTGCGTCACAGTTCTGGTCATTTGGCTGTAATGGTTGCTTAGGTTTTTATAGACTAGAGGCCCAGTGCACGAAAATCGTGCAGTGTGGGGGGAAGGTATCCCTCAACCCAGCCTGCAGCTTCTCCAATCTGGGACTCCTCAAGGGATGTCAGGCAACCGGGCTGATCAGGGGAAGGCACCAGCCCCATTACCCCACTACTGTAGCCACTGCCAGCTATTGCATCCCCTAAGGTGTTTTCATCAACACAGACTCTAGTCCCTTCACTGTGAAAAAAATGACAACTTTCTTTAGGCTTTTTCAAGATGTATCTTTCATAGGATATGACAGGTTTTTTTTGTTTTGGTTTTTTTTTTAGCCTCATCTGAGGCTATGTTTCCACTGATTTTTAGAGAGTATGGAAGAGAGAGAGAGAGACAGAAACATCCACGAGAGAGGGACACTTTGATTGGTTGCCTCCTGCACGAGCCCTGACCTGGGCCCCAACCAGGGAGGAGCCTGTAACCTAGGTACATGCCCTTGATCAGAATCGAACCCGGACCCTGCGGTCAGCAGGCCAAGGCTCTAACCCCTGAACCAAACCAGCTAGGGCAGTAGGGGACCTTCATTTTTTCCCCTCCAGGAATGTGGTGGAAAAACCCTAGATCACCTTCTTGGATTCTTATAACCCAAACTACCAAGAACACAGCAAGTGGCAGCCTATAGGGAGCTTAGCCAATGAGCTGTCAGAGAAGGTATTTACTCTCAAACTGGTTTGGCTCAGTGGAAAGACCGTGGCTTGCAGACTGAAGGGTCCCAGGTTTGATACCTGTTAGGGGCATGTACCTTGGTTGGAGGCACATCCCCAGTAGGGGGTGTGCAGGAGGCAGCTAATAGATGTCTCTCTCTCACTGATATTCTCCCCTCTTCTCCGTAAAAAAAAAAAAAATAAATAAAAAAAAATGTATGTTTTTTAAAAAGTGTATCCTGTGCAGCTCATACAGCCCATGGGTTGTGTCCACTGGGCTCGGGGTGTGTCCCTGCCACCCCGTGGTGGCCCCCGGGGTCTTGGCACACCCTGAGGCCAGCAGCCATCCCCCTGTGGAGGGCGCTGGGTTGGGGGCATGGACTCAAACCGCTGCTTGGTGCGGGAGCATTTGCAAGTGGCTGGGGAAGGGGAGAGAACATCCCCATCTCCAAAGGCCTCCGAGGCCAGCAGCCAGCCCCACCATGGGCCTCAGGCTGGGGACATGCAGGGACCCTGAGCTGCACACGGCGGTGACTGCCAGGATCTCAGCACAACCCAGAGGCCAGCAGCCAGCCCCATCGTGAGCGCTGGGCTGGGGGCGTGGACCCAAACCGCTGCTTGGTGCAGGAGCATTTACAAGCAGCTCAGGGGATGTTCCTGCCCCTCCAGGCAGCTTGGAACCTTCACTCACAGGGTCCGAGTGACCAGGGGGCATTCTGGGAACCCTGCCGCTCAGGACCTAAGCTTGGGCCTATAGACTAGGAGTGGCTGTGTGCGTAGCGAAGGTACGGTCAATTTGCATGTTTCTCTTTTATGAGAGGATAAATTGATGCCTTCTTGAGATAAAAAGAAAGGAAAGTAAACTAATTCAAATAAACTTTCAGAATTATTCTGTATAATTATAGTTCACCAATTCACAAATTTATGCATTCCAAGTGAAAACTTGAGTGTAACTGATAATCCATTATCATGACACACCATGTCATAACCTGCTATGAACCACCATTTTTCAGTCTTTCTCAACTGTATACTACACCACATTTAAATGTAACAAAGTAGCACATCAACTTTGCAAGACACAATTTAAAAAAAAAAAAATCCAACATTGCCAACTGAAATGAGAATTCAGACTCTCGCTTAGTCCTTGAATTATGCTGTTGGTAAGTCACTGCTATTACCTTCCTTGCTTCTCACAGCACTGACTCTCTCTAATAGTACCAGATGTTAAAATATCCAACTCACACTCTTTAGTCCAAAGATGTCTAGAGCTGTAACTCTGTTATCAGGAAGTACAGCCTCAGACCTGTATGTATTTTCTACAATGCACATGAGGCATATTTGATATTGAAAAAAGAGAAAGCTTTCTCATTTACAACTGCACATTTGCAAATATGACTGACATGCTTGCCGTATATAAACATAGCGCTTAGAATTTCTGATCCAAATGCACTAACCCAAGAATTTTAAGATTCTGATGAGAAAGCATTTGAGAGGAAACAAAAATTAAGAAAATATTGCTATTTAGACTGAAGTACCTTTGTGCAAAAATACTTCTAAGCACTTCTTTCTTGATTTTCATAGATTCATGTCCAGAAATGTTGACATAAATCATTGCCTATATCGCCATTAAATTAGGCATTCTAAAGTACAGAAAAGCACTTTCCAAAAACTTTCAGCAAGAACAACAAAAGCAGTTTACCTTCTCTACATCCTTTCATTCCACTGCATCCAAGGCAGAGTCCTACCCTGGCTGCACCTCCAGCTCCTCCACAAACTGGCTACACACCCTTTCTACCCGCCCAGACTCAATTTGGGAAAATCCCAAGGCTTGTTGTACTTACTCAAAACTCAGGAGTAGATACATTTACTCCCAAGTTCATGTTCCTCCCAAAGCCAGGTGCCCCACACCGAGATTAACAATCGTGTTAAAGCCTCGCAGTCTTCCACAGCCAGCCTCCGAGACCGACAAACCGACACTTCCGTTTCCAGCTCTGACACTGAGGTGACTGCTCAGGTTTCTGTGGCCCAAGCAGCATGAGTCAGACTTTGTGGGCCCTAATCTACTGAGTCATGCCGTCTTTACTAATAAACAAGTATTTCATGTCAACAATATGGGGCATCACCCAAAATCATAGAAATACAACTTATTAAAATATATGAGAACTACTACACCTCAAATACCTCTTGTAACTACATCAAATTGAATCACAAACTAAGCAGCAATACTGATGGTTTAGTCACCAAAAGGGAAAAAATACTCCTAACTTCTTCCTGCCAAAAAAGCAATGAATATTCATTTCTTGAATGGATTCATTTCCATCAGAAGAAAACTATGTGCAAGCTATCTCTGTGGTGAGCACACAAGTTCAAGGTTACTCATTACTCAGCTGTTTACAGGACAGATAGTGGCCATTATCTCTACTCCTGAGCAGCAATGGAAGCGATTAAGTTAAAATGAGGCCTTCTAGAGGAGTGCTTTTCAACCTTCCTCATCTCATGACACATATAACCTAATTACTAATAGTTTACGGCACATTATATTTTTTTGCCAATCTGACAAAAAGTAGGTATAATTTTTATTCAGTCACGGTGGACAGCTATGGTTGTGTTGGCTGTTGTCATTTTTTTATTTGACAATCTAAGAGGTCAGTGCCCCTGACTAAATAGTCAGGTATTGCATGTTTTAAAAATGATTACTGCACTCCAGTTGGAAACTGGTGTTCTAAAGGAGTTTGCAAACCATTCTGGCTCATAACCAGGTATTGCCAGAATGTTAATCAGCTACACAGAGTTTACAGGTCATTAAAAAATTCACTAATCCTTTCTGGCCAACATGGCTCAATGGTTGAGCATTGACCTATGAACCAGGAGCTCACAGTTAAATTCCCAGTCAGGGCACATGACCAGGTTGCAGCTGAATTCCCCAGTGGGGGGCATGCAGGATAAAGCCGATCAATGATTCTCTCTCATCGCTGATGTTTCTCTCCCTCTCCCTTCCTCTCTGAAAGCAATAAACGTTTAAAAAGTCGCTGTCTTTTCCACATTTAGTGCTGCTACAGCACGGCCTATGGTGGCACTGCCTGGTGGTAACATAAGAGCTGGTTCAGAATCAAGTCGCCTGGTGTAAATCATGACTGTCTACTATGTGTGCCTGTGGGCAAGCTTCTTTAGGTCTTCATTGCCTTGTCCATAAAAGGGGCACAGGGTGCTGAAGATGGTGACAATATGGGTAAAAGTGTTTACTATGGTGCCTGGCACATAGAAGGCATTAGTAAATGCAAGCTTATTATTATTGCTATTACTTCTACTGCGACTCCTATTACTCATACTGTCACCACCCAGGGAACAATGGTAGCAGTAATGCAGGGCTGAGGGACTAGGAAGTTTTGTTAAATAGATTCAATCCAATTGTTTTTGGTCCCAGGTCTATGTTAATTAATGCCAATTAATGATTCAGGCAGTACAAATGTCTGACATTTGTAACAGCATCCCTTCCTAGCTGGAAGATCTGGTCCTGTCCTCTCCACCTATCTAAATGTTATGGATCCCTCAGTGCCCAGATCATTTTTCAGATACCTCCTGGCATAATCATCAGTTTCCCTTGAGCTGAGTTCATGGAATCTATTGCCCAAAATATCCAGTGAGCAACTAACCAATCACATATTGGCATGGAATCTTTTCATTTGTGTCCCATTTATACCACGTTTTTATTTATAAATGGATTTATTTATAAATGGATTCATTTCCATCAGAAGAAAACTATGTGCAAGCTATCTCTGTGGTGAGCACACAAGTTCAAGGTTACTCATTACTCAGCTGTTTACAGGACAGATTGTGCCCATTATCTCTACTCCTGAGCAGCATTATACCACTCGTGCATAATGCTGTGACTTTCATACTTATGCCTGTGTCCTTAGACTGAATAGTTCTTCAGGGTAAGAACCATAATGCTTCTTTGCATGATCGTGGACTGGAACTTTTCACTAAATTGGCACTCAGTAAATATGCTAATCAATGAGTTTACTAATCAATTCTGATTGTGCGCATCAAGTGAATTTTATAAAATATTTAAGCAGGTTTGTTAATAAACTCTGAGAGTATTTATGAACAAAAATGTTTCATATCTACCAATAAGCATGTACTTATGTCTACTTCTCCATGGAGATTCAAAAATAAAGATGACATGACTGAGCAATGAATCCATAGCAGTCAGAAATACCTGCTATCAAGTTTCTGCAAAACCTACAGCTACAATTGTTTTAATACTATTTTATTTTGGTATCCATGCCATCCTCCTACATAATAAACGCCTAATATGCAAAATTGTCCCCTCAACCGAGTTCGACCATTCGCTATGATGTGCGCTTACCACCAGGGGGTAGCGTGAAACATGGCAAGTGTCAGTAACAGGGTGCTGGCAGCAGTGAAGGTGCAGCCAGCTCAGATGGGCCCCTAGGAGAGCGAGGCCAGGCAGGATGGTGGAACAGGTGAGCAGGCAGCGCCAAGGCCAGGTGGGCTCAAGCAGGGGCCCATCTCTCCATAGATGGCGACCAGCGGGAGGGGGGGGGGGGGGAGGAGATGAGGCTAGCTCCCAGATGCTGAGGAAGCCAGGTGGGAGCTCAGTCCCCAACTGATCGCCCCGCAGACAGCAACCAGGGACTGGCAGGCCAGTGGAGACGGGGCCCCAGGCTGAGATGGGGAACTGGGGGAGGGGGGCAGAGACCAATCTCCCACAGTGCCTGGGCAGGGTGCAGCAACCTCTAACCAGCTACCTGGAGGGTAGGTGGCCGGACCGAGGTGTGGTGAGAATGCATGGTATCCACCAAGCTCGCTCTCACCCCCCGGCCTGCCGTCAGGATGCCAGGGCTCAGGCGCCGGGGAAACCCCATGGTCAGGTGCTGGGTGCCAGTGAGGAGCCCGCCCCGCACCCACTCTTCCAGGTGAGCCTGGCTGCTGACGCTGGGGCTGCAGGGGCCGTCAGGCTCCCTGTGGGTTCACGCAGGAGCCAGTCTGCAATGCCTGCCCGGCTTCCGTGCGGTGCCGCTGGGTGGCCCACAGACCCACGCTGCACGCCAGCCAGTGGCGTCTGTCCACACTCACTGCATCTCCATTTGGGGACTCGGGCGCTGTGACTCGGGTGGAGGGGGGCTCGCGGGAGCCCAGGTGCTGCCCAGGGCCAGAAGTCAGCTGGGACCTACCCTTCCATGCCACTTGCTCTGATCGCTGGCCAGGCCTAGGAACTGCACTGGTAAACGAATTTCATGCACCAGGACTCTAGTGTAATTCATATGTAAGAGTTAATAATTTATGTCATACTTCAAAACAATAAATATTTAGTAACTTCAGGTTAATATGTGCATTGCCGGTGAGAATATAACGGTATAGCTGCTATGGAAAACAGAATGATAGATCCTCAAAAAATTAAACATAGAATTACTATACGACCCAGCAATCCTACTTCTGGATATATACCAAATGAATTGAAAGCAGTGACTTGAGTAGATATTTGTACACCAGTGTAACAGCATTATTCACAACTAGAGGCCCAGTGCAGATTCGTGAATGGGTGGGGTCCCTCAGCCCGGTCTGCACCTCTCACAACCTGGGGCCCCCCAGGAGATGTTGGACTGCCAGTTTTGGACTGATCCCCCGAAGTCCAAAACCATCAGTCCGACATTCCTGAGGGGTGTACCATGCCGAATCGGCAGGCGGCCACAGAGCCCAGCCGGGGCCAGGTGCAGCTCCACTACCCCTCTCCCAGCCCTGCTGCAGCTGCTGCCACCGCCGCTCAGGAGCGCTGCCACGGAACCAGGAGAGGCTCCCCCAGCATCAGCTGTGCTCGCCAGCCGTGAGCCCGGTTTCTAGCCGAGCGGAGCTGCTACTGTGGGAGCGCAATGACCACCAGGGAACAGTTACTGCACTGAGTGACTGCCCCCTGGTCAGTGCATGACATAGCGACCGACCATTCTGTCATAATGGACGCTCTAGCTTTTATATAGATTAGAGGCCTGGTGTACAAAATTCATGCATGGGAGGGAGGGGGGGTCATGTCCCTCAGCTGGGCCTGTATCCACTCCAATCCGGGACCGCTGGCTCCTAACCACTCACCTACCTGCCTGCCTTATCACCCCTAATCATTCTCCCTGCCTGCATGACCGCCCTAACCCCTCTGCCTGCTTGATGCCCTAACTGCTCCCTTGCCTGCCTGATCAACCCTAACCAACTCTGCCTGCCTGCCTGATCACCCCTAACCATCCCTGCCTGTAGCCTGATTGCCCCCTACTATTCCCCTGCTGGCCTGATCACCCCTAACTGCCCTCCCTGCTAGCCTGATCGCCCTGCCTCTGCCTTGGCCCCTGCCACCATGGCTTTGTCTGGAAGGACGTCCAGAAGATGTCCAGTCTAATTAGCATATTACCCTTTTATTAATATAGATGGCCAAAGATGGAAACAACACAAATATCTATGAACATATGAATGGATAAATAAGCAAAATGTACATATGATGGAACATTACTCAGTTTTGAAAAGGAAGGAAATTCTCACTCATGCTAACACATGGATGAATCTTGAAGAGACTGCTAAAAGAAATAAGCCAGATGCAAAAGGACAAATACTGTATGAACCCACTTATATGAGTTCTCTAGAGTAATCAAATTCATAGGAACAAAGTAGAATTATGGGTTGGGAAGAGTGAGAAATAGGGAATCATTGATTAATGGATACAGAATTTCAGTCTGGGAATATGAAAAAATCCTAAAGATAGAAGATGGTGATGATTATACAACAATGTGAATGTATTTGATACCACTGAACTGTACACTTAAACGTGATAAAAATGAGCCCTGGCCATTGTAGCTCAGTTGGTTGGGTGTCATCCATGTTCCATTCCTAGTCTGAGCACATGCCCAGGTTATGGGCTCCATGCCTGGTAGGGGGCATGTAGGAGGCAGCTGACTGATGTGTCACTCTCACATTGACAGTTCTCTCTCC